ACCGAAAGCGGTGGAGGCGGCCGCTCCGAAGTCCAACCCAAAGCTCGCGTTTCTGTTCGACAACGACGCCGCACACGGCGGAGCGGCGCCGGAGAAGCAGGAGCCCGGGTCGGAGGTGCCGGTGACGGACGCCGCTGCAGCAGGAGTCACACACATAGAAGAGGTGAAGCAAGAACCCATAGAGAACCCATGTAAGCTGGATGACTCGGGCAGTGCCGCAGCAACCAGCGCTGCGCCAGCGGCGCCGTCGCGACGCGCGATGACGATCGCCAAGAGCGTAAAGCTGCAGCGCAAGCTGCGGGACTTCCCATATGACAAAACGGGCATCTCTGCAGCTGTGGAGAATGCAGAGGCGCTGGCCACAAACGATGCCTCATTGAACTCTGCGAAGGTTCAGGTGGACGTGAAAGAGGCGCGGCAACCACGCACTGACGACGTCACGGTGCCGCAATCTCCCACAGCACCTACCGACAACACGCAGCACGAAATCAGTGGGGCAGAGCGGCATGAACACCCTGCGGATAACGCTTCGAAAGTTCCAAACGAGGAGTTTAAACAGGAGCCTGCTGCCGTGATGTCAAAATCACTCAAACGCAGTCGCTACCTCAAAACCTGCGAGGCAGCGACACAGTCCCTGATAACAGGGGAAACGCACGCACAGCCTCATGGCGAGGAGGAGACGACAGTGAGAACAGCAGTTGTGACGAAACCAAAGCTGGACTTGGCACAACAACCGCAAGTGTGTAACGACCAGCCCATGCCCCCACATGTCTTGGATCAAATCCGGGCGGTTGGCAACATAAAAACTGCCGCCATCTCACGTCACGCATTTACAAAACTGACTGGTATAAGGCGGAATAAGAAACTCCTGGCCAAAAAAACAGCTATGCAGGAGGAGGCGGAGAATACGGCAGCACCTAAGGGAGCTGAGGAAGAGGCTGAGCGAAGGAGGGCCGCCGAAGAAGAGGCTGAGCGAAGGAGGGCCGCCGAAGAAGGAACTGAGCGCAAGAGAGTTGAAGAGGAGGCTGCACGGAAGAAAACAAAAAGGGATGCATACAGGAAGCCAAGAGAAGAAGCGGCAAGAAAGAAAGCTGAAGAGGAAGCGGCTCGCAGAAAGGCCAGAAGAGAGGCGCGAGAGCGGG